ATAATGTGGCGGTTTTCAAGACCTGCATCGGACCAAAGAGTAATCGCGGTGGCTCTCACACAATGGTTTGTGTAGATGCTCGACAGTTCGGCTTCCTCGCTAATTTCTCTCATCATAACACCCAGCTTATTTACACCGAGTGGCCGATTTTCGTACCAAACACTGTCGCTTGGGGACCACTTTCGCTTCGGAAACTGGAAGAATGCTGAACAGTGTGGATTTAACTTGGATATATAAAGCTCCAAGGCATTGTAGCCGTCGCTGGGGTCGTCTGTAGCACGGTACATCCTGCCGTCTTTTTCAAAACTTACCGTGTCGTCAAATCCACCGGGATGATTTTTTGACAACTCGTCGTGGGTCATAGTCGCATACTGACGGGAATTTTCGTCAACCGCAAAGGTAAAGCTGGACGGTGTTAGGTTTCGTTGGCCTTCTCTACCTCGTCGACACCAATATAAGGTTGTTGTGGAACCAAACATTTCTCAAGAGACCGAGGGGAGTCGAGGCGGAGATTACTGGATGAACTCTCAGCTTTTGAAGGTCTGGCGTCGTTATGGCAGGTTTGTGCTTTGTATTTTGTTTCCCGAGTTGCTTTAAATTTTTAATTTTCGCATCGAGTATCATGTTGGACTTCATGAAGGCAGGATTTTTAGAAAATTTGATTCCTCTGTTGTGAGGGGGGTAGTTTAAATGCCGCTCAATGCCGCTTCTCAAGCCGAGTAGGGTTGACTTTCCGTAGTTTTCGCCGGTCTTGTTTCTCACTTCTGCATAGAAAACTCTCAGGTTTTGATCAAGCTCTTTTTCGCTTTGTTCATGAAGCTCTTTATTTATGTTTCTTTGCAGGGCCCACTCTGAAAAACAACCATAATATATAAAAACCTGATTACTTGGAAAGGTGTAAACTTAAATTTAAAGTTCAAGCGAACTAACCTTTGTAAACAGAGACAGCGAAAGCAGTGCTGTATTTCGTCCTTTTGGAGTGTGCTGCTTCTAATAATTCGTCTAAATCGCTTGCTTCTAAATTTGCAAACCTTCTGGGGTTTTCTGCATCGCCTACAGTGCCAAAAGGTTCAAAATTGGCCATTTTAAAAACTTTTTACTTAAATTTTGGGAATACGCTTTTCAATTTAAAGAGCGGCGGGAAATTTCCCGTGTTGACATTGAGTTATGTCAACACGGCTCTTAGCCAATCAGCGTCCAGAATTTACAATTGCTATATTATAATTAACTATATGACACGACTAACAATATATTACTTTTTAAATAATTTTCTTTGCGTGTTTGATAAATGTGGTTTGTTTACGTTAGCTATTTTTAGTAATTCAGTTTCAGGAGTTCTTCTCGAGGGTCGAGGGTGGGAAGCGAGGGTCGAAAAATCATATATAAAAAGTCGAGGGTCATATAAAAAAGTCGAGGGTCATATATAAAAAGTCCGGGGCCGTATTTCTAAAATATTTTATGGTTTTTATTGTCGAGGGTAGAAATTTGCGGGCATTCCCTATAGATAAATTTGCAAGTGGGGCAAGCACAATAGCGAAAACAATACTTTGAAGATGGCGTCGCGAACCCGGAAAAGGCGTATGGCAATGGAAAGGTGTAAACAAGTCCTGATTACTCTGATTCAATAGACCATATAGTGAATAGACTGATACAATAATTTGCGATATGCAATCCGAGATAACGCAGATAATGCACCACGCCGTTTGAAGCTATCACGACTGTAGCGTTTGATCGGCATGTCTATTTTTATGTAGTAATAATATTTTGTCATATAAAAAGTAATCGCATATAAAAAATTAATAATTGCATATAAAAATAAGAGCTAAAATTTAAAAGTAAAGTAAGTGAACACGAACTTAAATTATTATTTTGTTAAATTATTAAAATGTGCCCTCAAGCTTTTCACCCTCGAATTTCTACACTCGACAATAAAAAAAAACTTAAAATATTTGTAAAATACGGCCTCCGACTTATTATATACGACTCGAAAAAAACACTCCTACGCATGTTTTAAATAGAACTTTTAATAAAGAACTAGATAGCTTTTATTAGAGGTAATCAGTGTAACAATGTCCTTTTATTTTTATGTTATAAAATATTATGATCATTGCATATGTTTTTAGTCACCTGGTCAAATGGTACACTGTAGTTCTCCCACTTTTCCAACTTTAATATGCTACTGAATATCATGCATTAAAGATACCTTCATTGCCGTATATAAGCATAGTACGTTAAAGTAGCTTTGCACAGTTAGTTAAGGCCCTGTACCCGGAGTGAACGCCTGAGTAGGCGTCTTGTTTATATAAGGTTCAGGCCTTCTTTACAAGTTAGAAAAAGATTTGATTAGGTTAAAAAGGTTGGGGGTGTTTATCATATTTTTATCCAATTGTTGATCACAGGAATGCTTACACTATTTTAAAATTTTTGTAAAATGCAGGTTTGCCCTTTGAACTAATGCAAGTGAGGCTTTTACTACCAATGATGCATGTTTACCAGTATTAGACTGTGAAATTCATTCCTATTATTTCAAATCAAAGTATTATTAACACCATCACTTTTTAACCAATTAATTTAAAATGATTACTTAGCCATAAACGAGGCCTGGACCTTATATATTTGAATAAGGGGCCGATTACATGGACCGGACAGCTGTGCGAGATGACTTTAATTTACAATTATGTAGTGTGCCTGCCAAGTTAACTGCGCTGAAGTAAGCTCATTATATTGAAAAGTTTTAATACTTGAATAATCGTTGCTGGATGTTATAACTAAAGAGTGTTTATATGCGGAATTTTAGGGCTTCCCTACATTGTGATTAGTATTTGTTGATGTATTTGTATTAGGTATTGTTTCGCTTATGCTCCACTAAATCCAGTCGATTCACTGTCTAAAACATCTAAGGGTGTAATGCTCAAAAGCTGTACTTTAGTGCAAATTTGTGATTTTTTATTTTTGTGCTATTATTTGTTAATAATTTCAAAATAAAAACTGTGTGTTTGCAATTTTCAGCCCGGTATGCTCGGCTGAAGCAATTACATAGCGAATTTCAGCCCGGCCACCTCGGTTGTGACAGCCAGGATTCCTGGCAAAGCAGGCTGGCCCGGCTGCCATGTAATTGAAACTCAAAATTTATAGGCCTATGAGATTATTATAGTAATCTGGCTAGCCAGATTTGCCGGGCTAGCCTGGTCCATGTAATCGGCTACTAATACCCCGATTCTGGCTGGATATTTTTCAACTATTCAACACATATCCTGTATTTGGCTGGATAGCAAAACGACTCTATCCTGCACATCCCTACAAAGAACTTGAAGTAGGTAACATAAAAAGAAAATTGCTTTGTAGGTGTTTAAATGTGATGGAGTGAAAATTCCATCTTTGAAAATATGTCAACAATAACAGGAAACACGAGAAGAGTCTGGCTAGACACTTCCTTGTCCTGCATCAGGCAAGATGTTATTCAACAATGTGCTGAAAATTGTGCTCATTGGAGTCAAATTTGTAATTAAAAAAACATCAACACCCTTGCCATGAAAGTAGCAGCTGATTTGAAACAAGTTGATAAATTCTCTCAAAGCATGTTTGTTCGAGGATTGAGTAGGCATCTGTATTAATTTTATACAAGAAACACTTGGAATCTGGCAATTTGTCATATACACAAAGTTCTACACTATTTGGCATTTACAATAAATATAATTTGATTTAAAGGCTGGTCAAATGTAAGCCTTTGTATAAAACTATAATGTATTTATATTTTATATCATCGTTTTAATTCAAATATTGTCCGCGCGGCAAATATTCAAATTTTAAGCCGGAACACACGCTCGAAATTCACGAATGAGGATAGTAAATATTTCATTTCTAAATTGTTCTATTATGTATAAAACATAACAATATTCTTACCAGAATATTACTCAGTGATGCTTGATGTTTCATATTCTTTAAAATGTATTAACTTCGCTTAAAAAGCGAATGTTTGTAGGCGATAAAAATAAAAATATAAAATTTCAAAAATATGGTGGTCAGCGTGATGACGCTATCCCAGGAAGCTTTGCGCGTGCGGTAGGAAATCTAGGCACCAGTCCGTCAAACCGCGCTCATCGTGAGAATTATTGCCATGTGCCTCCACAAACAAACACTGTATGACTACAATATAGTTTATAAAATAACATGTATATAACGCGTGTTCTGATTGGTCGAAACCCGTGTTTGGATCAGGCCATCAAACACGGAAGTCTATCGTGTTGTTGTTATTTTATAAAACAATTACTTTATGGTTTCCGTGTTTGGATGGCCTGATCCAAACACTTGGGAATGTTGCTCGAGTTAAGAAAAGCGGGCAAAATCACTCGCCTTCGGCTCGTGCTTTCGCTCGCTTTTCTTAACTCTCGCAACATTCCCGCGTGTTTGGATCAGGCCATCCAAACACGGAAACCATAAAGTAATTGTACATTCCATGAACTCATGGAGAATTTAAAATTAACTCAATTAAAACGTTGGTATCAACATTGAGGAGACCGGATTTCACACTAGAGTGACTAGACTGACTAGAGACACCTTAGTCTCTGTTCTGTTGTTTATACAATTATACTAATAATTTAATAGTATAGTCTTTATTAAATAAAATGCTTGAAGAAGGAATAATATCTTCAAAGAACTGACAACATTTTACATATTGTCTTCTCACGTGTATTGTCTTGTCTCCTTGTCCGAGACGCGGAGTCAAATTGGCCCTTCGAAGAGTAATGTTACTCTCATGTGGAGTCCCAAGATTCCCGCGAAGAGTTATTTTGACCCTTTCATGGAGTCAAAACTACCCTTGGAGTTGAAACGACCCTTTCGAGGAGTAGAAACTACCCTCTTTCCAAAGGGACGGAAATGACCCCTAGGGGTCAAAACTACTCTTCTGAATTTACAGTGTATATATATATATATATATATATATATATATATATATATATATATATATATATATATATATATATATATATATATATATATATATATATATATATATATATATATATACGGTATATATATATATATATATATATATATATATATATATATATATATATATATATATACAGTATATATATATATATATATATATATATATATATATATATATATATATATATATATATATATATATATATATATATATATATATATATATATATATATATATATATATATATATATATATATATATATACCAAATATGTATTTAGAATCATATATGAGTAGAGTGCTCGATATACCGAAGTATAGAGCTAATAGATAAAGATAAAATAAACCTGGTTTACTTCATAAGATTTATTCACTACAAACTTGTTTCGTATGACAAGCAATGCTTGCCACACTCATCAGGTGAATTTAAATGTCGCGCTATGTTGTTGCCAAGGTTATATATACCATATACATGTTTGACGTAAACGGAATGTTCAAGTATTAAATTACGTATAGATTACGTAATCTGTATATGTAATCTATACGTAATTTAATACTTGAACATTCCGTTTACGTTTAAATATATATATATATATATATATATATATATATATATATATATATATATATATATATATATATATATGGTATATACCTGAGGCAAAGAAATTTAAGTTTTTAAGTATTTTTCTCGCAACTATTGGTGGGTTATACCCACCAATGCTTTGCGGGCATACTGGATAATAATATCGCAAAACATTGGGGGGTATTGGAGTTCCCGCGCATAATATGATAACTGATTGTTTAAGGTCAAGCATAAATTGTTAAAGCTATCAAGATTAGAAGCAATTAGTTTACATATTACAGTAAAAGGCCACAAGTTTAAATGGTGAGGGTTCAAATTTTATTATAAAAGGCAAGTGAATTATA